ATGGAATCTTGATTATAATGTTTACCTGTTACCCAACAATCACTTTATATATCTTGTCGCCTTACGATATGTGCAAATTAATGAAAAATTTAATTCCACTAAACACTGGGTAACGTATCAACAATTACTTAAGTGAAGCACACAGTGCAATCGCAATTGAACTTCCTCAAACAATCATTAGCAATAAAACAATATAGAACTTATAAATCCAATGTTTATCCCTAGGCACAAACCATAAACATAAGCACAGTTTAGAAACTTGATAGACAAAACCATTTAATCAAGTGCGACTGGTGAAAAAAAAACATGAAGGAAGACTACAATTCTGTACTATTATTTAATACTTGGATAGATAGGTACATAACAACTTTGAACCTAAACTCCCACACAATAAGTACATATATGCGGCCTACTCCGTACCAATGTTAAACATGGGTAGGCACATATAAACTTTGTACCTAAAAACTCCCATACAATGAGTACATATATGCGGCCTTAACTCTGTACCATTGTTAAACATGGGTAAGCACAGATAAACTTTGCACCTAGACTCCCATACAATGAGTACATATATGCGGCCTACTCCGTACCATTGTTAAACATGGGTAGGCACAGATAAACTTTGCACCTAGACTCCCATACACTGAGTACATATATGCGGCCTACTCCGTACCATTGTTAAACATGGGTAGGCACAGATAAACTTTGCACCTAGACTCCCATACAATGAGTACTTATATGCGGCCTACTCCGTACCATTGTTAAACATGGGTAAGCACAGATAAACTTTGCACCTAGACTCCCATACAATGAGTACTTATATGCGGCCTACTCCGTACCATTGTTAAACATGGGTAAGCACAGATAAACTTTGCACCTAGACTCCCATACAATGAGTACTTATATGCGGCCTACTCCGTACCATTGTTAAACATGGGTAAGCACAGATAAACTTTGCACCTAGACTCCCATACAATGAGTACTTATATGCGGCCTACTCTGTACTATTGCTTAACACGTGGGTAGGTTCATATGTTGACTGTGTACCTCTACTTCCAAACGATAAGTACATAAGACCTAAACGTCATACCGATTGTAATTAATAATCAGACAGAATATATACTTTGACTTCTAGTTTCCTACCTATATTGTACGAAAGAATAAACAATAAAGAAACGAGATAATGCGAAACAATGCCCAGATAAATAACTGCTTCATAAGACGAAACCATTGTCATTATGAGCCACCTGGTCCTGAATATGTCTCGTCAGTAACAAGTTCACCTAACATGCATGCATGATTCTAAATATTTCGAACATTGATTTTATTGCCTAACAGCAAACAGCCATCAAGTCATCAACTAGCCTTTAACGAACAGCACTGACTGACAGAGCAATTAATTCTCTCTTATGACCTTAAAACTTGGTAGCCTACCACAAACATAAGCACCCCAGTGTGCAATTCATGTAGAATGAGACATAAAGTTATACTGGCCTTAATAAGCTTGGCGATTGAATAACTGCATCCCTTATACTTCAAAGGAACTTCCGCATAGGTTGGTCGTGCGAGGGGGTGCAGCACAGATTTACACCATCAGGACCCAGATAGTTTAGGTCATGCCAGAAACCTCTATGACGCCAAAATTGGATTCCCGGCAAAGAATGGGTCCTGATCTCCAATTGTATATTTGTTTTTACTTCTTTGACATTAAAGCCTTCTTCAAAATAGACGTGCTTCATGTTAGCGGTGGTGAGCGCGCGAGTGTGAATGACTCGCTGAGCTGACCACGTGACCTTACACATTCCATTACAATTAGGCAAGGCGTGGATCTGAGAATTTTCACAATTAACCAACGTAAATGTTTCCGAAAACCTCCAAACAAATTATCGCATTAAATACATAAATACAATTATTATTCTAATAATTGTTGTTGCGTGAACAGAAGAAAACACTTGCTGTGGTCTTCAACTCAACATTTAGATATATAGACGACGTATTGTCAATTAACAATGGTTATTTCCATTCTTATGCCGATACTTGTACGGTATATCCCGGCGAGCTTGAGATAAAAGATACCACAGAGTCTGACATATCTGTATCACATTTGGATATTTTACTTGAAAAATACGTTAATGGCAATCTAACAACCAAGCTCTATGATAAACGTAATGGCTTTAACTTTTCAATCGTTAACTTCCCTTGTAAACCTATGCAGCAATATACCTTCATCACCTGCATACTGAGTTTATATCTCTCAGTTGATTCGATACGCAAGAGCACGCTGTACGTATGTAGAATGTCTAGACCGAGATAAATTATTAACAAACAAATTGATGAAATAAGAATATAAGTAGTTTATAGTCATCATTTCGTAAGTTTTATGGTCGATACAAAGGCTATGTCACTCTGCAAATACAATTTATCATTAAGTCAAATGTTGACTAACAATCTTGATACTAATTATTAGTCCATTATTTACACACTAAATTGACGACGGATTTTTCCGTAATTTACCGATCATGACAAGGAGCACACGGTGGGTGTGACCGGACGGCAGGGGATGCTTACTCCTCCATGGCACCTAATCCTACCTCTGATGTTTTGGAGGTGCGTGTTTATTCTGCTCTAATTTCATATTGTTTAATGGACTTTTGAGCCTGATTACTTTTCGTTATCTACATATATTTCATTCTTGATAAAGAAAAAAACTCGTTAATTTTGAAAATGATTTTAAAAGCGCTTAAGGAATCTAGTATATTTTTAAAAAGTTAAAGGAACACAAAAAGATTTTTTTTTAATTAAGATATATGAATATACATTAGTTGAACTAATTAATATTTTTGATCAAATTGCAAATAAAAAAGTTTTAATTTCAAAACATTACCCTTTACTTGCCATCTCTAGTTTCAATAATTCTCTCTTTTGAAATCCTTGCACTACGATGAAAACAAGGAAGTTTCTCTTCAAAAATGAATTTGTCAAGCGTCATTTATTGTTAGGCAAAAAACCAATAGCTATTCTATCGATAAAAGAAAAAATGTAAAACAAATGAACACTTTGTGCTTTGATATAATCGGACCTATTATTGTCAACTAAAACTTACCATGCATAAATAACATTATTGCCTCTTAAATCCCTTTATATATGACTGACAATAACATAATACAAAACAAGATGTGTTCGTGAAACACTAATGCCCCTTATGGCCAAGGATAACTTTCTGAAAGGTAGGTAAAACTCCAGGATTGAGGTCAAAGGGTAACATTTATTGGTATTCAATGAAAGGTCTTGTCACAAGGATTTCATATGTGAAGTATGAAAGCCCTAGACCTCACTGTTCAAAAGTTATAGCCAAGATTAAAGAGTATAAAATGTAGGTAAAACTCCAAGGTCAAGGTCAAATGATGGAAGTTGTTGGTATCCAATGAAAGATCTTGTAACTAGGATTAAATACTAGTATATAAAGTATGAAAGCCGTAGTCCTAAACCTTCAAGAGTTATGGTCAAAGTTTGTTTTTTAAAATTAGGTCAAACTCCAAGATCAAGCTGAAAGGATCAGAGTCGTTGGTATCCAATGAAAGGTCTTCTCACAAGGATTACATATGTGAAAAATAAAAGTCTTGGTCCTTACCGTTCATAAGTTGTTCTGATAAGATTATGGACAAACAGTTTTTAAAGTACGTAAATCTCTAGAGTCGCGAAGTAAGGAGTCGATACTTACGTCGCGGGTTCGAATCCCACTGTGGGTGCTGGCATGAAAAAGATTTCTCCTTGCACAATGGCCCTGAGTGCTTAGTATAGGACAAAAATTGCAGCTCTCCACGAGCAAGTGGTGGCGTCTCCTTATGAGTGAAAAATTCTTAGAGGGACGTTAAATAACATTTAATAAATAAATCAATGAAACAAACGAGGTAAGTTAATTATTGACAAACAAGTTGCTGAAACAAGAATATCAATAGACTCGTTTAAAGTCATCATTTCGTAGGTTCTTTGGTCGATACAATGAACATTTTCAGCAATAACAATTTAGCATTAAGTCAAATGCTGACTGACGTGTTTTAAGCTTATTGTTAGACCATTATTTACATTTAAACTCTCAAATGTCCTCGGATTTTTCCGTTATTTCCCAATATTTACATTTGCTGTGTTTTTATACTAAGCCAACATTGAAACTGATTTGAATACAATTTTCGTGTAAACTTACGCGTAGAAATGTACACGGAGAAACGTGTGCTAATGTGACTTCACAATGAGGCTACAGAGACGTTAGAAAAATGTTAGGAAATAGGGCAGCAAGAAATTCAAATATTGAGTATATTTTTTATGCTTTAAGGCATGGAAAATGTAAATGTATTTTTCATGAAGCGCTGGCACATTTCATGAAATATGCCTACGTGACTAGTCTGCGTGATTCACACACTAATAACTCACACTAAACTTAAAAACATTCCTTAAATCATGACAAAAAGTATACGGTTGGTTGAACGGTAGGCAGGGGATGCCCTCTCCTCCATGGCACCCGATCACTCTTCTGATGTTTTGGAGGTCTTTGTTTGCTCTGATCTTATTTTGTATTGTTTAATGGAATTTGGAGCTTGAATGGTGATCGTTATCTCCATATATTTCATTCAAAAGTTGAGACAGACATGATCAAAACAAATAATTCTGACGTTTACATTGATGGCAAATAATTCAGTATACAATATGCAAATCTAAGACAATTCAAAATTAGAATTTTCTTTCCAAAATATTTTGAACATATCTCGTATACAAAGAATTTATTTTGAAAATGTTTATTTTTAAATCAAGTTGATTGTCTTAATCATCATATACGAGGGGTATCAAAATTAATAAAGACTATATTATGAAATATACAAATAATCAATCTTAATTGACGGAAGTTACACGCAAGTCATATGGAAAGAAGAATCACTTAGGTACAACTTGTTTAAGCACACCCACAAGAAGTGAACTGTGGTACAACTTAACAAATTCCTCAACTTCCTCTTCACATTTTCCCCGCTGAGGTAGTCACATTGTTAGTTCCAAGTATAGCTAAAAATTTACCATCATCGGCAAGATGCCTCCAGTAAGAACAAAAAGACGGACACTCTCAAGAAGACAGATTGAAACCCAGCAAGTGTCACCATTCAGGGGACGACCCCTAGGAATCAAAGGAGAACAACGGATGGCGCTTCCCAAACATCAACGTCCGCAGCCATTGTTAATGTGGCTGCCCAACCCGAATTCGCCAACTCAACAGACGAATCCAACAACGCAAACGGTGAGTCAATAATGAATCTACCAACTATTTTTGAGGAAGCAACACCTCAGACTCTAGAATTTACACCTCTAGACGTAGATGAATATCAGCCAGTTCAAACTCAAACTACTTTTGACCCACTTAGTGGTCACATTCTACCTAAACTGAAACAAAAAATTCATTGATTTGGCCTTACTGTTAAAATCCGCCGGGGAATTGGCTAATGAGATGGACTCAAAGGGGGAATTACAAATTAGGGATGGGAAAATGTGCTTAATCAAACAAAAGTCTAATACATACTTGTCTATAGACAAGTGGATGTCTGCCTTTATCATTTTCGCCAGCGTTCTACTGGAGAAATACCGCACTAGGACACAAGAGTTGCTAAAATACATGCGTGACATTCATCTCGCTGCATCAAGGTCTGCGGGTTGGTTCAGGTACGATGAACAGTTTAGATTAAGAAAGGTTTCTGACCCCCATTCATCATGGGGCCAAATCAATAGTGAATTTTGGTTACATCAGATCACCAATTCTGCTGTCACATACAATTCAGAGCCAACACCCAATCTCGTATGCTCCCTTACAATCAGCAAAACAGGTCAAATTTACAAATGACTACCCATTATTGCAACATTTATAACAGTGGTAAAAAATGTCAATTCTCCCCCAATTGTAGGTTCAAACACTCTTGCAGGTTGTGCAGCGGGACCCATCCAGCAATCAACTGCAGAAAACAACAGTCCAACCACTAATTACCCAGTCCCGTCTAACACCAATGTATACACATTGGGCAGCATACCAATCAAAATAACTCCACTGCAAACATTTTTAGAAATATACAAAGAGAAAGAATTTTTGATAAATGGTTTTCAATTTGGTTTTCAATTACAATACAATGGCCCCAGAAGACCCAGAGAAGCTAAGAATCTAAAAAGTGCATATCAGCACCCTGATATTGCTCACCAAAAATCAACAAAGAATTAGGTCTGAAAAGAATAGGTGGCCCCTTTCAGCAATGCCCTTTCCCTACACTTCAGATTTCACCTCTAGGACTAGTTCCTAAAAAGATGGGGATTTCAGACTTATCCACCACTTATCATATCCAGAAAATGACTCCATCAATTATTACATAGAACAATTAGCTTGTTCAGTTCATTACTCCCACATTGACGATGCAGCAGGCATGATCGCCCTTATAAGTAAAGGTACATTGTTAGCTAAATCAGACATCAAGTCAGCATTCAGACTCATACCAGTCGCCCCCTCCGATTTTGATTTGCTAGGTTTTAAATTTCGTGACGAATATTATTTTGATAAAATGATGCCATTTGGTGCCTCTATCAGTTGTGCAGTCTGGGAAAAATTTGCTACTGCATTGCACTGGATAACCCAGAATATCTCTCGTAACCCAAATATCTTACACTACCTTGACGATTTCTTATTCGCAGGCAAATCGCATTCTCAACAGTGTGCAAACACTCTATCTGTATTTCAAAATATTTGCCAAGAGTTGGGGGTCCCAATAGCACATGAAAAAACTACAACCCCAGCCACAAGTTTAATATTCCTGGGTATAGAACTAGACACGATAGAAATGGTAATGAAACTCCCACAAGACAAGTTAGCCAATCTTAAGCATACCATCCAAACTTGTTTGTCTAGCAAAAAGATCACCCTTCAATCCCTACAATCCCTCATTGGCCTGCTTAATTTTGCATGTAAAGTAGTGGCACCTGGGAGAGCATTCTGCAGGAGGCTAATCGATGCAACCATAGGCATCCGGAAGCCGCATCATAAGTTAAGAGTCACTTTAGAAATGAAAGCCGACTTGCTAGTTTGGTTGAAATTCCTACAAAAGTACAATGGAGTCACGGTAATATCAAACAACATCTGGACATCAGATACTTTCTTACAGCTATTTACTGACAGCGTTGGGGGGCAAAATGGGGGGGGGGGGGGTTCGGAATCTTTTTCTCTTGAAGTTGGGCTTATTCAAAATGGCCACAAGATTGGGTGCAATCTGAAATCATCCGAGATATGACATTTTTGGAATTATTCCCAGTATATGTTGCAGTTCTGATCTGGCACGAGTCTCTAGCAAACAAGCATATATATTATTCCACATAGATAATATGGCCGTGGTACAGGTTTTGAACAACTCCACATCCAAATCTAACAAAGTAATGAAAATTGTCCCAGAATTGCTCTACAGTATAATATCACAATAAAAGCACAGCATATCCCAACTAAACAAAACTCTATAGCAGACTGTATTTCTCGTTCACAGTGGACAAAATTCCACCAGCTGGCACCAGACGCAGAACAGTGGCCCACACAACTTCCACCCCAGATATGGTATATTTGGTAGCCGAATCAGAGCGCCTAATTCAAAAATCTATCTCTCAAAACTCCAAACAGGTTTATAATGCAGCCCTTAAAAAATTCCATGGCTTTCTGAAATCATACAATCTCAAAGAAATTTGGCCCATACCTACAGACATAATCCTCAACTTTATTGCTTATCTGTCAATACAAGGGCTTTCCGCAAACACAGTCGAACTCTATGTACAGGCACTTTCCTTTTACCACAAGCTAAAAGGATTACAAGACACCACTAAGTCATTTCTTATAGCCAAAGCACTTGAAGGTCTCAAACGCACAATAGGTAGAGCAGTGGATACTCGCTCCCCAATCACCCGCCCTCTGCTTAGAGAGTTAATCTTATCTCTACCCGCAATATGCTCCTCACCATATGAAGCCACGTTATTCACCTCTGCTTTTTCACTTGCTTATTTTGGCTTACTCAGGAATTTACCAGCACAAACAAAGCGAAGTACTCGCACTGTATACAATTTCAAAATGTAACAGTACATAACACACAATCACACATTAAAGTAACTATCCCTCACTCAAAGACAGATCAAAAAGCCCATAAAATAACACTCATCATTTACAAAGAGTTGGACACTGTCTTGTGTCCAGTTCGAGCTGTCAGTTATTTGAATATTCGCCCCTCAACATCACCATCAGACCCCTTTTTCATTCACATTAACTCAAAACCTTTAACAAGATATCAATTTAACACAGTCCTTCAGAAAGCCCTTGTCTCTACAGGTAAACAGGGGCATTTCTGTACCCATAGTTTCAGAATAGGGAGGGCAACAGATATGGCCCTACATGGGGTGTCAGACGAAGTCATAAAAGCCTCAGGCAGGTGGAAGTCGCAAGTTTACTCCTCTTATGTCAGAATGTAATTAGTTTGTAACAAGTTAAGCAAAAAAAAAACTTTCTTCTAATCCAAGCAAAGTTTTTCAGGTGTCCTGAAAAACATTTGGATAGTGGGATCCTCAATCCCTTATTGGGCCGGAGAGCTGGCTGCCACCCAGCTGGGTGGCAGGAACCTTAACCTAACCAGCCTGCATCAAATGGCATGCCATAAGGGGATTGCATTGGCAACAACTTGACCCTCACATCTTGAAATTGCTGAAAAACTTCACACCCCCTGAACTTTTAGTTATTCACCTAGGTTCAAATGACTTGACAACAGAAGGTTTGACTAGTAAAAAACTCATAGAAGAAATACAGTGCACATTCCTACGCTACAATGCATTATTACCCAATACCAAATTAGTATGGTCTTCTATATTACCCCGCCTCTACTGGCATGGGGCTCCACTCAACTGCGGAGGCAAAATCGATAAGAAAAGGGAAAAGATAAACAGAAAAATCAGATCATTTGTTTTGGACCTGGGTGGATCTGTTATTTCTCACCATAACATATCTGCAAAATCTATAGAATTATTCAGATACGACGGGACACATCTCTCAGAGACGGGAAACCATTTGTATCTTCATAATCTCCAGGGGGGGGGGGGGGGGCTATCATCATTTTTGTCTAAAACAGCCACGGAATTTCCATAGAGGTCTACATTAGATCCATTCTTATAATACAAATCAATGATTTAAGTATGTTACTGTATAGGTAGATGGAGGAACATTATATCAATGTTTTATGGCGGGTCTGGGGGGACCTAAGGGGGGTTTCGGGAATTTCTGGCCTGTGTTTCCCCCATCTGTCAACTAAGACAGAGGGCAGTTGTTGTTTGTGGGGAAAGTATTACCCCTTATGTAGTTTATAGTTGGGGTTCTACAAGTTTAAGCCATACTTGGTGCCCCCTTCACCTCTTTTAAAAGGATGGAAGGCTCAGAGTCTGGAGTACTCAGTGTCAGTAAGTACTATCGAACCAGGGAGCAATCTTCTGGAAACAGGGTAAACAGATATGTCCCAGGCCATTCCCGTTCACATGCTAGTTGTCAAGCATTGGGACTTCACTGGCACTTGTGCTCAACACAAGGCCTCCGTCATGCCCGTTATGCACCTTTGTGTGTTGGTATTTCGGCCGTAACCCCATTTATGTCCATTATCCGTAGACTTTACAGTGACTTTACAGTGAATGTTGACAATCGTTGTATTCGAAAATGTTGTGATTATAATAATTGGTGTAATACTACTGTTTTCGAGTTGAATAAATGTGAAATGAACTTATGAGTTTTGTTATACATTCCTCAAGGCATAGGAATTGCGGTAATGCTAATTGACAGTATGAATTGCAATGAAATTTAGTATGCAAATGGTTCTATGCAAATTAAAAAGCAATCGAGATACCAATAAGTGGTAATTGTTGAAGTAATATACAGACTATTCAATTAAGTTGATTGTCTTAATCATCATGTACGAGGGGTATCAAAATTAATGGACATGTGCCAAAAAAATAGTTCTATATGGACGATGCCTATTAAGATTTAAAGGAAACTAAAACAAATGTTTAAGCGATGCTGAAAATTTTAGCTTGATATTTTGTCAAATTTTTATATACATAAAAAATGACTCTCATGATATCAATGTGAATTTCATTTTATTGAAAACGATGCCAAAAAATTTCAAAATTCAATTCATATTTTTTATGCAAATATCATGTGAATTGGTCAGTATGATATTCATAATGTTTTTTTTTAATATAAATTTCATGTGAATTTTTATTTCCACGATATTGATGCTATATGTTCTTCATTAAAATTCATATGAACATTATGTTAAAATCTCTTGAAATTTTTACATAAATTTCAAAACATCAAATATCCTGTTTTGTCTCTTACAAAGAATCTACATGAAATTCCTGTGACTTTAATATAAAATTTACACGACCCATTCTTGTCTGAGTAAAATAAATAAATAATACTCTTTCAGACGACTTTACATAAATTTTCTTTGCGCATACATAACTAATTTGATTGAGCAATTTAGTATTTTTTTATGATTCTTGTTCACATTTGTAAATTACGTAATGATGCCTATCGTTCTTCCCTCGATATCTTGAGCCCTATCACCAGTATAATTTTTACAAAGTAATATACCATATTATAATGTTATCATTTGCCACATTTTATAGGCAGGTACAGCGGGTGTTTCATTTTCAGGAAAAGAAAAAAAATTCAGATGATCATAATTATTGAATAATCCTTATATTTAGTTTAAGCAGCGTCAAACTAAAAGAAAAAAAACAGTATCGTCAGAGACAGCCAAGATAAGCAATTTACAAAGATGCTATTCGAATGATATACATTGCTCTGATCATTAACACTTCACCAATAAAACAAAAAATCACTGTAACAACGCAAAATGCATAGGCAAAGTATAACTTTTCACCTGGAACATGATCTCTGATTTGGTCCAAATGTGCAGCGTATGCAGATACACCAGCAAGAAGGAGGAGGGCTAAAATGGAAGTTAAAATTTATTTTAAAAAGACTTATATGTATGCAAAGTTTGTAGTTCAATAAAACATGCTTTTCAGAAAATCTGTTAGTCAACATGAAAAATAAACCTTTTTTCTCTGCGCCTTCGTGTTTGAATTACACTCGTGTAACCCCCCCTTTTTTTTTA